TTTTTTTTAACATGGGCAGGCTGGAATTCTCCTTGAGGTAGCTTTTTAAATTATTTTTCTGAAGTTATGCTGCACTACTGGCTTGAGCGTGGCACGGAAAAGATATTCCATATGCATGTGCTGCTTAATGTTAATCTTAGCCACTGGTTTAAAATACGTAAATATAGCTTTCATATAAATTTCTTTTGCCCAGGATTTTTTTTTTTAGACACCTTTGAAAAATGTTTCCAGGTTTTAAGCTTTTTGAGCAACAATGGAAATAAAATACTGAACATAAAAATAATGCTTGTTGATATATATATATATATATGCGCAAATGTAAGCAAGTATATGCAAGTGTGTGAATGCATCTATACACCTTTATATGTACAGAATCTGTTGAAATCAATTGTAGACACTGTAACTTTCCTTTATATAAAATAGTATAATGTGTTGATGTCATAAATGTAAGGGCCAATTCAGACTTTGGGGGCTTGCTGTATTTAAAAGAGTTGGAACTTTCAGTTCTTTTCATCTTGCTTTAAAGGTTCATTTCAGGCTCTACCTATTGTTAAGAGATAATGGACAAGACCATAACTCTCCTGTACATTGTAGTACAATTTTTTTCTCCAAACACAATTAACTTTAAAGCTGTTTGCCTTAGAAATATTATAAATAGAAGAAAAAATATTTTTTGTTCCTTTTTCACCACTACTCATAATTTAGACACTTAAAATTCTTTGTAATCAACACACATGCAGAGGAATCTCTGTGATGCACACACAATTCTACTGTAACTTTCAAGAAAGTGTTTCTATGTATTTTTTTTTAAAGCACAAACTTTGAGACCTAACACAAACAAAATAAACTGGAAACAATGTCTGGCAGGTCCTAGCATTTTCATTAAAAAAAAGTATCCTTTTTGTGCAGAAGTAAATATCTGTTTCATTCTAAGCATGTGTTGATCTGGCTGCCAGAAGGATAAAGTAGTGCTGGAAGATGTCAGGTTTGAATCTATATAGACCTGTAAAGATAGTTAAGATTTTAAAAGAAAAAGCGTTTCTGGACTTTTTCACTTAAAGTAGATAAACTTTCAGTTAGCGTGTTTCCTTGCCATGTTTTTTTCTTGATATCATACCTCACTGGTTTCCTGTCTCGAAGCAAATCTTCCAAGTTGTTTCCACAGTGTTCAGCAACAACCACCAGCCTCTCTGATGGAAAATATAGGCATGCACAAAGTCAGTTTTAGTATAATAACACACACATAGTCACCAAACACTTTTACTTTAACATCTTGTTGAAATTAAAACCATCTTATGACAACACTGCATCTTGTAATACAAAGAAGATGTCTACTTATTTTAGTGAGATATAATATAATGGAGGATCCATAGCGCTGGGGTCCTTCTAGCCTGCAATGTCCAAGATATCTCCTATGATATCCATGTGGCCCATTCCATCTTAACTTTTTTTTAAAGGTTGTTTAACTGCAAAGGAGGATTTATAGCCAATGCTTCATTAGTAGGGAAACTCTATTAACAAGCCTTGTAACAGCTTAGCAAAAATGTTCCCTTTAATTTACCACATTCTCTCTGTTTGAAGGAAATAATGTATGTCAGTTCGAAAGCTTGAGGTATTTTCTCCTTATTCCATATGTGTACTGGAGGAATCTTCCCATCTAGCCCTGAAATATGTCTTTTTGCCCCTCTTCTTATAGTTGCTAGATCCCAAGGATGAATACACAGATTTTCCTCTCCTTCAGTAGAGAACAAATTCTATTAGATCCTATGGACAAAGGGTTCCCTAATGCTAATGACTGCAGGATGGTAGTCATACAAGATTTTATGAGAAAATATTTAGGATATTAGAACGCCAAGAGTATTATTTATCATTCAATTCTTCAGGAGTTAAAGGAATAGCAACTCAGTGCTGAACTGAACAACACAGTATTATTTTTAATTCTTTAATTCCAGTTCTTTGTTTCAAACACAAGTATAGGTGCTTGGTTAATATCAACCACTGAAATGTTTGGTTGATTAGCAAGATAGGTGACATTTGAATGTTCCTGGACTGACTGCAGAATATTCAGTTAGCTGCCAATAGCAGTCCTGTTTTACCTAAATACAAGTTTTGGTGAAACAGCTTCTAACAAGATTGGTGAACATAATGGCTATAATGGTATCTTCAGCAATTCCTTTTCAATTTAAAATAAAAGTGCATTTTTCTTTCTGGAACCTCATAATGAACTGTCTTTCTAAAACTGCAGAAATGTTGTCACTCTTTATACAGGACTGCCACCTCTGCGCAATGAATCCTGCTTTTAACAAGCAGAATGCTTAATTACATAAGTTAGCTTTAGTTATATTATATTGCTGTTATTGTCGTTCATCGTTAAGTCGTGTCCGACTCTTCGTGACCCCATGAACCATATTGCGCCAGGCCTTCCTG